GTTTTTTCCTCCAGTAGACTTTGCATAGAGGAGGTCCAGAAAAATCACAGAAACCCATAATTTCAATCATCCATTTTGTCCACATCATCGATCCTCGTCGTTTTAGATCCAACGATCCACAAGGTACCCCACACAACTTCAGAGAAGAAATTAAAGGTTGGAATGAAATTCTTCTTGCATACAGTTATGCTGCCAAAGTCGGCCTTGGTTCATCAGCCTATGATCTTAATGTATAGCATCCAGGATAGGTGGTTCCTCGGTATAGAGTTTTACAGCTCTTAATATCAAAAAATCTATGTAAGAAAGTCCAAAGTTATGTTTATTTTTATGTTTGTCTAAGGAGATGTTCTTGGACAAGTATTTATCACGAGTTCAGATAAAATGCAGAGTCATTATTGGTAGCTTAGGTGGGTCATCATCTGAAGCATCTCTTCAAGTTCTGTTTTTCAATCTTCTTGTCAAGAAGCTTTAGGCAATTTGACGATTAAAACTTAGTCGATGCTTATCGATTTTACCTTCATCAGTCCTCTCCTCTCCTCTTCTCTAATTTTATATTTTTGTCATTGACACGGTAAAAAACTCGTGTTGAGATAGTCAATATGTTCCAAAATGTTGATTATGTGTAAGATGCGTGTCAGAATGTATCAAAGAAGGTCTGACACACATTTTTTCTAAAAAAGAAGATGTCCGTGCATTGGGTGCTTGCAAAAAGATTTCTGGAAGAGTTCATGCTCAAAGACCAAGTGGTCACAAGTTTGATATCACCGCCTCTCATTCTATTAAAATAATAATAATTAAATATTATGAAGTTTCTTAGCACATGTAGACTAGGTTTGATGCATCATCAGCCCTCCAAGCCCAATGAACTCTCATATAAGGGAATATGTTTAAAAAAATATAAAAATCTTTAATGCAATATCATCCAACGATATTTTACAATATCTATGGATGTGGAGAGTAAATCCTCTCATGTTAAAATTTTATATAACTTAGTCATGTGAAATTTTGTGTCTATCTCTCTCTTCACATATATTAAATATATGAGGTCCAATTATCATTAATGAAGAAAGAGATAGACACAAAAATTTCATATAACCAAATCATGTGAAATTGTAACACGAGAGAATCCATTCCCATAAACATCTTCTTTTCTTTTGAAATAATGTTATAAGAATTGAATCTATTATGGGTAATCATTCTTAAGAATTAGAGTTTAAAGCAAAACTAAGAAAAAAAAGGATGATATAACGTTTAAAGAATAGCTAGGGCTCTTGAGTTGGAGATAATATTTAGAGGTCCGCTCTCATGGTCCCTCTAGAGAGAATTGGATGGAGAGAGAGAGGAAAGAGGAAAAAAAGGAAGAAAAAAAAAAGGGAAGCAGCGAAAACCATTGGCTACTCATCCGAAGAAAAAACACAATACAAACACACTTCTTTTTGAAACATAAAAATATTTTGATCTAATGCAGAAGTTGGACCCAAATAAAGAGGATACATATTTTTTTTATAAATGATAATGTTGTCAGAAACATAAGTTGTGGCCCTTAGTACTTGGAAATATAAATTTTGTAACATGCAAATATTGGTAATTGTGCACTGCAAACTGATGTAATTGTGCATTGCAAACTGATGTGTGAAATGGATGCAAGTTAACAGCCGCACTGCACATGGGTTAGCGGCATCACTTGCAGCAAAGAGACGAAAAACAAATCACAATATTGTAGTGTAGGCAGCACAAGTTGCAAAATGATTGTTTAACAATAAGAAGGTTTCAGTGTAGCAGGCAGCCACAATTTTATTGTGGTTCAATAAGAACATTTCTTCACCTTGAAGAAATTGTCGACTCCCCAACTATATATAGGGGACAGCTTCATTTGGTTCAAAGCCCGGAGTGTGAAAGTTAAACACTTCCATTCCTATAGTTTTCTTTGTGTACCTAATTTTTTGCATTATCCTGTGAGAATTATTGAATGTAATCGGATTGGAGTTTGAGTGTTTAGGGCATGTTTGATTGTGTTTTGATTTTTTTATTTTTAAAACTGTTTTGTAGAATAATTATGGAAATAATTGTTTTTTGTGTTTTTTTTGTTTTGAAAGTTAAAAACCAAAACAGAAAACAAAAATAACTTAGATATATTCTTTAAATTTGATTTTAAAAACAAAAAAATAGTTACAATTTTTTAATTTTTTTTTTTTACAAAACAGGACTTACCAAACTGTTTTTTATATAAAATACATTTTCTCTCCTACACACCCTTCGACAACTGTGCCACCTTTTTCTTTGATTTTTTTTTTCAGGTGATAGAGCCTACAAATTTATCTCTATGACATGAGATAACTATCTCATTTAACATGAGATTAATAAAACTCATTTTATTTTAGTAGAATTTTTTATCTGTCTTCGCATTTGGAGTAGGCACATTGCCAAACCTTCTATCTTTTATTTTCTCTATCTTAGCATTAAACCGATCCGTTATCATAACAGATTATACTCATCGTTCAGATACAAAATACAATCATTTAAAAAATAAAGTTGCTTCTCTATAGGTGGAATAAAGTCTAGGTGATCTTTTTGCAGGTTTAAGAGAAAATGCTTTTGCTTATGGTTGGTTATCTTCGGCGGTAATTGAAAAACCAGACGGGTACAAAGAGAAGGAGAACTGTCAAAATTGGTGACCCAATCTCATTATGCTCTAGTACACATGGGCTAGTACTAAAAAGCCCAATGGGCCAAAAAGCTCACAAAACCAAAAGCATATATGGGTCAGAAGTCCCACGAAGTCTTGTGAGTTAAGGTAAATTCATACATCATTCAAAGCTATAATTTCAGAAAATTCTCACCTATATTTGATGCATTCAAAACGTTTTTAATTAATAAATAATTAATATTTTCTTAAAACTTTTACACAGAATATTGATGTTTCAAAATTTGATTTTTCTAATGAAGTAATATTTACACACAAATATACAACTGAAATATAACAAAAATTTGAATTATTTTCTTAATAATCCTTTAAAGTTAGTTATATATAAAAAAACATTGAAGTCTTCACTTTTTAAACTGCCCTAGAATATTGACTTTTATTTTTCATTAATACCTACATGGAAGAATTTTATTATTTAGCAATACTTTCACTCATCCATTTTGTCCACATCATCGATCCTTATCGTTCTAAATCCAACGATCCACAAGGTACCCCACACAACTCAGAAGAAATTAAAGGTTGGAATGGAATTCTTCTTGCATACAGTTATGCTGCCAAAGTCAGCCTTGGTTCATCAGCCTATGATCTTAAAGTATAGCATCCAGGATAGGGTGGTTCCTCGGTATAGAGTTTTACAGCTCTTAATCTCAGAAAATCTATGTAAGAAAGTCCAAAGTTATGTTTTTGTTATGTTTGTCTAAGGAGATGTTCTTGGACAAGTATTTATCATGGTTCCGAAAGAAAATGCAGAGTCATTATTGGGGAAATTTCTTTGGTGCTACGGATGCACCGTAAATTCGGTGCATCTTCCACTCATATTATGGCACGTGTCTTGCTTTAGTCAAATCAATAATAAATAGGAGTGGATCCTCTCATGTGCTAATTAACATGATTATATCATGTGGGGCAATCATAACCATACATGGGTGAGTTAATGGTGATAAGGGAGGAGAGAAAAAAATATAAGGATAGGAAGTAATACAATCATTACCGTTGATTTAATTATTAATGGTTAAGATCCTCCCACATGACATGATCATGTTAAATTACACAAGAGAAGATCCATTTCCATAATAAATAATGTATTTTAAAAATAGAAGAGAAAGTTATTTGATATAAAGTAAGACACGTGTCACAATATAAGTGAAAGATGCACCGAATTTTCGGTGCATCTGTAGCACCAAAGATGTTATCCATTATTGGTAGCTTAGGTGGGTCATCATCTGGAAGCATAATCATCTCTTCAAGTTTGTTTTTCAATCTTCTTGACAAGAAGCTTTGGGCAATTTAAGGATTAAAATTTCGTCGATGCTTATGGATTTTACCTTCTTCATTCCTCTCCTCTTCTCTAATTTTACATTTTTGTCATCAACACAATCAAAATCGCTTGTCGAGATAGTTAACGTATTCCAAAATATTGACTATCTATAAGACGTGTGTCAGAATGTATCGAAGTGTGTCAGAATGTATCGAAGTGTGTCGATGTACGACACATATTTTTCTAGAAAAGAATGTGCCTGTGCATTAGTGCTTGCAAAAAGATCTTTGGAAGAGTTCATGCTTTTATGTTTCGTAACTTTTGTTGTTTTGCTACGGTAAAAAATGCTTGCAAAAATGCTTATAAGTTGTAACTACAAAAACCTAACCAAGCGCAGGTCTATGTTGCACCAATGCTTGAAAAAATTTAAAATATTGTGTCGGACACTTTTCGATATCAAAACACTCTTCGACACTCTAACTCACCCCGACATCTATAATATTTAAAGTTTCATTACATATCATGAAAAAAGTAATTTATATTTTATCAAAATAATATAATAAAAATTAAAAATAGATACCGAATAAATTTCACTAGAGTGTATATGAGATTTTCAATTTACAAATATAATAGTAAATATTTAGATCTTATGTTTATTTTCAATATTAATGAGTATTATAAGTTTAGTTTCATTTTTTGTTAAATTATTAAATATTAAATATATTATACATTACATAAATTAAAAATATTATTTAATATTAAAACATATCCTAACATATCAAAATATAATATTTTAAAAAATTAACGTGTTATTGTATTGTATCTAATATCCCGTATCGTGTTATCGGTGCAAGATAGATAGATGCTACAATATTACATTTATATACTTATTTTCAATTTACTTAGATATACTTCCATTTAGCCAAAGATGCGATAAGCAACAAATAAAAATAAAGTACTGTAGTTATTCAATGAATACCAATTTCGAAAAAAAATAAAAATAAATAAATAAATAAGCAATGCTAATATCACAAATATTTAAAAATCTCCATCTTTGAAAGATTTGGGTAGCATCACGTGGCCAATGGGGTCTCTCTTCGCCTTCCATCTCTTAAACTGTTTTGAGGCCGCTTTCAGTGCCCTGGCCCATTGCTGGATCAAATATATGGGGGGGAAAAAAGAATCAATGAAAATGGACAAAAAGAAAAAAGAAATAAAAACAAGAAATTTACCCAAATAAAAAATACCGTCTCAAAGATTCAAGATAAAATATTTAACACAAATTTTGAGTTAAGAAAATAACTTTTGCTAAATGCCCATATTCAAATTTCTAAAAACGTTTCTCAACATAAAAGAAAATAAAGATACCATAAATCCAGGTAGAATAAGAAGCAAAAAAAGAAAAAGAAAAATGTAACACAAAAATAACAATAACAATGAAACAAGGAAACAGAAAAAAAAAAAAATACCTTTTTGATGATGGGGTTACATGTACCCTTAATTCTTGGAGGTGTTGGGGAGATATCAGAAGCCATCTTCTTGTTCTTGTTCTGTTTCTTGATGAAATCTAGGTTAAGATTGAAGGTAGTGGCAGTGAGCTTCTTCCTAAACTTAGAACCCATCTTCTTGACACTGTTTCTTGCTCCCAACAACTCCAAACCCATGTCATAGGAAAGCTTACTTGGAGTTATGAGATCCAAATCCATGGGACTGTAGGGTCTTGGAACCAAAGGGGACCAAATTGTGCTCTGAGAGTAGTCAAAGTCATAAGCAGAATTATCTGGGAACTTGCAGAGAAGCTCAAGAGACATTAATGGCTCCAAATACTCCACCACTTTTGTAGTATTCAGCACTAGTGCTTGTTCTTCTTCTTGTGCTTCCTCTATTTCCTCTTTCTCTGTTTCTTTTTGAGATTCCATTTGAAATCACAGTGGATAACTTGCTTTTTTTTTTTTTCTCTTTTTCTCTCTCTTTCTTTCCGCAACACTTGCAAGTTGTGATCTTTGTAATGTTGGGGTTGGTTGGGATTTGCTTTGCACGCAACAAGAGGAGAGAGAAACGAAGACAGAGAAAGTAGCCGTTGTAAGTTGTCATGTCATGTCTGTGTTCTCCGAAAAAGTGGATATGATTGTTATCAAAAAAAAAAAAAAAAAGTGGATATGATTTTTATTTATTTATTTATTATGCACTCTTAGATTTTCATAGAATGACAATACTATTTTCGTAAACTATTTTGTGTTTGTAAATTTTAGTAAATTAAAAACCCTCGTCATTGTAATAATTCATAGTTAAAGGTTTTATCTACCTACTAAAAAAAAATTGCTTTCAGTACTAGAATACAAAATAAAAAATAAAATGTTCTTAGATTAGTAAGGCCGCTCATAAATATTTTTTTATAAAGAATTATGCTTTCACATTATTTTTTTATTTTTCTTTTGACAAACCGCATTATTTTTTATGGATTATATTTATCTTATATTACATAAGATAAACAAGTTTTCTACACACACAAAGTAGAGGTGAGTTTCACATCTATTTTTTCTCTCCTCTTATATGTGGATCTCACTTATAATTTTATTTCTATAACATGATATAACTATTTTTCTATGACATAATATAAATATAACTCATCTTTTATATACCTCACCTTTTGTATCAAAATTTTATACAATTATTGGGACCCAGATTATTTAAAAATGATAAAGTAAAGGTTTTGATTTTTTTCTAAAGTTGTTTTGTAGAATAATTTATAAGAAATATTTGTCAGAATAAAAAATAATTGTTTGATAAAAATATTTTAAGATGACTTTTAAAAGTTAAAAAAAATATTTTTTCAAAGAAAAAATAGAAAACTTATTTGACTGGTAAAATTGTTTTTTAATTTCATTTAATAATTTCTTTAATCATATATAAAAATTAAGATGTTTAATACAAAGCTAATCATATTACAAGCCCTTTTTTAGACTAAGTATTCTTTTCCCTTCTATGTGTTATGCTTCTTAAGATTTTAATAGTGTTTTTTTTCTTTTTCAAGATAAATTTAGATTTTCATGATTTTGAACTTCCTACGGATATGTTATTTATACTCCCCACAACTTAGTTTTATTTATTTTTGGCACAAGAGCACTCGATCGATGAGCTACTATTAGGGGAGTAAATGGGCCAGGCTAGCCCAGTCCAGCCTACAGCCCGGCCTACATTGAGCCTGACCTAATCCGTCCATTCAGAGAAAATAGAGTAAGCTTAGGCTTATAAGAAAGCATTTTTAATAAATAGGCCATAGGCCAATTTTATCAAGCTTGGCCTAAAGCCTTGTAGGCTGGCTTATTTAATTTATTAAAATAAAATAAAATAATAATACTTATTTTTTGTGGCAAAGTACCAATATCAACCCTAATTTTTATGTGCACCGCCGCTTCTCACTCTCGGCTTCGTCTTTTCTTTCCCTTGTCTTGATGGTGGTTTAAAGATTTTTAGATGAATGACATTCTCTTGTAGACTTTATTTCAGCACCCAATAATTGTATTTTTCTTATTTCTCTCATTTCTTTGACTCTATTCCTCTACGATATACATTCTAGAGCTGGGGTATTATGTTGACTCTTTCTTGTTTGTCATTTTTTTCTTATGAGAAGTACTAGTGCATGCATGAATGGAACTTTCTTTGCTCTATACAATTATTTTCTTTGCTTAGTATCTACAGTGGGAGACCTACAAGGCCTGTAGGCCATGTCAGGCTTTCTTATTTTTAAAAGTAGGCCGGGCTTGGCCTACAAATAAAGCCTTTAATAGGCCAGATAGGCTGATTTTTTTTTTTATGTAGGCTTGGGCCAGGAAGGCCAAAGCCCAGTCTAGCTCAGCCAATTTACACCCCTAGCTACTATGCTTCAAAGGCTAATTCTTTTTAATTGAGTAGGGATAATATAGAAACGAGAAGAAATTGTAGCAAGAAGCATGAGATAAAAAAATAGTTATTGGATGTGTTCTGGATACCCACTTTTAAGCCCAACAGTTGGACCCTATATCACCAAACTTATATCTAAAACTTTCTATAGGGCATCTCAAGAGAAGCCACAGAGGCTTAACACAAGAAATCCCTTTCTTCCCATGTGCACTTGCTTCCCCTGCACACAGATAGTTGGGCAATATGTCTTGTCTCCTTGACAAAACAAGGCTAGATAATAGCTAAAGAGGGCTCGTTTTCCCATGTTTGAAGATAGACTTGCCCTCTCTAAATATTCCATTTACCCATGGAAGAAAGGATCTTCTCTCCTACTCATTTTCAGATGCTGGCCTCTGTACAGAATCATCCTAGCCACTCCCACACACTCCCACTTGATGCACATCATGAGAAGCCTCTGCAATGCTTTGGTCTTTACCATTGCTATTATAAACACTCTTAAATTGACATATTTCATCCTCTATGGGACTTATTTATGTCCCACTAATGGTTCTCGATGAATAAAAAAAAGGGTATTGGAACTGGAATTCTTCAGCCCTGCTCAACCCTTTAGGCCTAAGTTGGGGATCAATGTTGGGTCAATGGGCTTAATAGGTGGTCCATTCTCACGGTTAAGATGACTGTTAAAACATGTCAAATCCATCGGGCCGAATCGGTATAGGGGCTGGATTTCAAAAATATTCACCTATTCAAACTTTTATAGACTTTTGTTCGAGTCATTAAATTAATAGATTATATTATATAATATTAGGTTAACTCATTTTCTCATTTATTTATTTGTTTATTTTAACCAGATCCAACTTAATTTGATCAAAGTTGATTAATTTAGTTTTACTTTGTTCAAAATTGACCTAATCCAATTATTATCAATCTTAATTTTACTCTATAATTTTTTGTCCTAATCATTTTGATTCCTTGGTTAAATGAGTTAGACTTAAATAGGTTGAGATAATCCCTTAAGAGAGCAAATAAGAATGTATTTACTCTTTATCTAACTTAAAATGTATTGTAACCAATCCACTAAAATTTAAAGTAAATATAGACCGAAATGTTTAATTTAAAGACAATCTCACATTTTAAAAAACCTTTTTTATATTTATATGATCATAATAAAATATTAATAAAGTTGCCTTGCAAACTTTTCCATGCCATAGCAAGTAGCAACTATTAGAATTATTTTAACCCTAGATCATGTATATGATTATAAAATATCAAATAATATGAAATTTAAATTGGAATTGTGCGTACTTTATTGGACCATCATAAAGCTGCAGGAAAGAAGGAACAACAAAAAAGAAGAGACAACATGCTAGGATCTTCCTCTCTTTGACCTATTTCGAAAGTGGCAACCTTAGCGATGGAAGGATTCCGGCTCATAGGGTTTAACCCCAATATGAATAGGCTAGAGAGGGGACCTAGCCAAATACCTTAAAAAGAGTTTGTATCCATTGGATCCACTCATCACAAAAAATCAAGTTCACACTAAAGCCTACACTACTACCCAACTAGGCCCAATACCAACAGATGTCAAAAGCTCAACTCAAATGATCACAACGGGCTTATCAAAATAATACAATTGAAATATTCATTAACCCGATTAATTTTAAAACACAATTAATTAATTAATATTGTCCACATAAAGGAAAATTTCTAACATGCTCCCACTTGGGCTATATTAATTAATTTAATATTATTTTGGAAATTATTTTATTTTGAAAATGACTTTATCGGGTTAATAACTAAAAAATTATTTTACGTGGCCACGATTTTGAAAAATAATATTCCAACTCCAATACCAGCATCTCAACACAATTCAATCCAACATAACCCTATCATAGGAACATGCCGATCAATATACCGAAAATATCACAGCATATGACCTTCCATACTCACATACAATGAGTATTACATCATCATGAATCAAGGCCTAGTAATGTAGTAAGAATTAGTGTCATAATGTGATCAACAATGCAACACACTAATTATTATGAGTCCTCAATGTAATTTTTCAACAACATAAAATTACATTAGAGCAATTTCCAATCAACATGAAACTACACTTCATAATGCAATTTCTCAACAACAAGAAATTCCATTACCGCAATTTCTAAACAACATGAAATTTCCTTTTCAATCCAATTTCTTAACAACATAAAATTGAATTAACGCAATTTTCAAACGACATAAAATTGCTTAGTTTAAATAAACTAACATGTCAAAATACAACATGAGATCTCAAAAATTTGTGACATCCAATCATTTAAACTCACAACATGCTTAAAGATACTATTCATACATATATTTCTCAAACGACAGGAGAAATAACAATAATGATGATCATCAATTATTAAAATTCAAACAAAAGTCACAAAAATATCATCAGTTTGCATGACCATAAAAGCAAATTAAATATAACTCCCACTGATCAAGGGAATCAAAAGAATTTAAAACACTTAAAAGAAAACCTCGAGTACAACTCTCATTAATTAAGGGAATCAAAAGAATTTAAAGTACTCATATATACAAAGGAGACTACTTCAAGGTATTTCCTACAAAAGCTTTTATCTAAAAAGCTTTTATTTCATTCAGTAAATCATCATCTTACTGAAAAATAAAATGTCATCTACATAAAGTACTAAGAATATATATCTACTTCCACTTACTTTCATGTAGATGCACTTGTCAAATATATTTAAATTAATTCAAAGAAATTAACAAAAATTCACTGTTAAGGCAAAACGAATGCATCCAAATAAATTATAGAACAAAATATAACTTCAATTAAGACAAGTTATTACAACGAGGCCAATAAAATAGTACATTCCCCTTTGCCCAAAATGCGCATACCAAGGTTAAAGCCTCAGATGAATAATCAATGAGCATACACTAGCTTCAGAGATTTGTCCCCTTTGGACAAACATATCACCTAGACGAATGTACCCTCAATAACTTTATTACA